AATTTAATTGTTTTGTTTATTATTTTCCTTGAAGTTACTAATGTGTGTATTTTTTTATTAGAAAGTGGTACGAGGCATCCAAGTAAGTACTTTAGTGATTTTTATTTGATATTATGATATAGAAATCATGCTTAGGTTGTTATTATGATATTCCTAGTATCATGTCTAGGGTAACTTTAATATTAAGTATGATTAAAAGTATGATGCCTTTTATGTTCTTCCTAATATTTATGATTGTTAGTATCATGTTAGGGTTAAAGCTATGATTTTTGTTGTTTAGTGACATGCTAGGGTTTGTTATTAATCTTGTTAGTATCATGCCTAGGATCTTGCTATTATTATACTTTAACATGATTATTTTATGATGATGATTATAATTATTTTTATAGTTGTTATGATTATTTATTATGTTGCTTGATATTTATTGTTATTGCTTGATCACACCTTTTTATGCATGTTTAAAGGGAATTGGTACTTGTAATCACGCTTAATAAGATAATTAATAATCTTTTTTAGGTTTAATTTAATTATAATTTAAGTGATCTCCAATAATAGATTTATTTGTGCATTAATATTCAACCAACATAGATAAACAGGTTTAGGGGTAAACCTATTGGTTGCATGTTAGTCAGAAAGCGCACATGAATACGATCAGAATAAAGTAGAGGCCTATTATTAGGGAAGGTTCAATCTCTTTTAGGTTGGATTTGTACCTTCATCCCCGAACCCTATTTGGTTCAAGACCTTATGGAGTTGACGAACTCTTGGATCGTTAAGGGGTGTAACCTTCACCTCGTGAACAGTTTACCTAAAAAACTTGTTGGCGACTCTTTTGCTCTATCTTCTTTCCCTTTGGACGCCACCGTACTTTAGTGTATGATCACAGTGGGGTTCAAGCTTGGGGATTAACGCTTGAAATATTCCCTACAGTTTTTGGCAATTCCGCTGGGGAGGATTTCTATTTTAATTCCTAAAATTTATTTCGGCAATGATTTAGAATGAGTGGATGAGACTCGAAACATTCTAATTATTTCATGTGCGTAATTTTGATTAACATTATTGTCATATGCATAAAAAATATCTCATTGGAAAGACCATCCGTAATGAGTTAAGACATAGGATTTTACACGTAGGAAATTTGAGGAATATCTTTCACAACTAGGACCGAAATAACACTGCACGAAACTGGAAAATTTTATCGAGCACAGAAATCTGCTGAGGCATGTAGGAATTAGCGTCAGCGAAGAAAAGATTAGCGTCGGAATTTTGACTGTAGCGCCAGACGACAGTTCTGTCACCAGGCGCTACAGCCAAAATCCGGCGCCAATCTTTGTTAGCTGGCGCCAAATTCTTCCAGCACCGAGCCAGAAATATGCGTACTAATTTTGACCAGTTTTTCGCATTGTTTGCTCGATCCTACTTCCTGATTGAGTTTTTCTCACTTTTCTGAAACCCATATGTGTTCTACATATGGACATAACCCTCTGGGAATTCATGCTCCATCTACCTGATTGAACGCTCTGAGCAATAAAGGGTACATTCAAGATTGTTGAATTCACCAAACCATGGAAGCGAGTTTTTTCTAAAACTCGCGGTGTCCCATCCACTCGCGCCAACCCTTCACGGTTAGGCTTCCGCGCGGTGCATCCGGACAATTAACCATGGACCCTCTATTGACTAACCCATATCCTGAACTTTAGAAAACTAGAGCCATGGTTAGGTTGCGAACTCATTGCATCATATCTTGCCTACTTGACTAATTGTACATTATTTGTTGTGCATATGATATATGTTTTTCTTAACCATTTGTTTCACTTGTGTTAAGATTAAATAAATTAATGACTAAAAGAACTTTGCCTAATTAATTAATTAATTTGAGTGAATAAAGCCTAATTTTTTTAATCAGAATTAACCTAGTACGACTTTAGGCATACCCCTGTTGATTAATATCACCGAAAACAGTTTCAGATTGAAGCTCCAGCAATGGCGGCAAAGTTTGACCTATAGTGCCACTCTGTGGAGTGTGGCGCCTGGCGACAACTCCGTCGTCTGGTGCTACACTGCAAAGAGAGGCGCCAGTCCTTTCGTTTTGACGACAGTTCGGATTGTTAATCGAGTCATCACTTTGTGTCTAATTAACCAATTGACTAATTAATTCGTTTAAATATTACTGTTAATAATACTTTGTTAAGTCATTAATTGAATCTAGGCACTAAGTCCCATGGTCTTACACAAGAGTCCAAGAATGTCACTTACACTCAACGCAAACACCAATACACATACTTTGACCATGTCTAAGAAAGTCTTTTATGCGCGTTTTTTCCGTCATTTTTTTAGGGGGGTAAGTCGGATATTAATCCTCCAATTTAAATGCCATACTTGGTTCTTAAAAAATACATACATTATTTTTTGCTAAAATATGTACCTATTTTTTTTTCCTCTTTAAAACCGTAAAGTCAAGGTCGATTCGAGTCAAGTAATTAAAACACAAAATGGTTTAAATTACAGCGTGTGGTCAAGAAAGGAAGGGCAGTTAATCAAAGACAACCTTTTCGTACAAGTCCAACTTTTCGACAAACCCATTGCTCGTAAGAGGAAAGCTAGGACAGTAATGGCAACACAAGAAGAAGTCAATGAGCTCAAGAACCAACTGGTTACCGTGACTAAGGCACTAAAGCTCCTAACCCTTAAGATCGATGATCCCGTGAAACAACAATAGATGGACCTCATGCAAGAGAGTCTAAGCAAGTTATCTAGCGACTACAAGTTTCAAGGGATTAGTTCACAAGGGGTCTCGGTGGACAAAGATCTTCTTCCGCAGAAGTTCAATGCCAACGACATCCCAAAATTCAAAGCAACCGATAACCCTTATTTTCATTTAAGAGCCTTCGAAACAATAATGAGTATTAAGGCTATCGACAAAAAGGTGTTCCCCTCTCTGTTTTCATTATCTCTCGAGACCGTTTTCCAGCAATGGTTCTTTTCTCTCGAGAAAGAAAAGACCTCCACCTGGGAGTCCATAGCAAACGCTTTCGTTGATAGATACAAATGCAACATTCAAGTCGAGACTGACCATAGGGAACTTGAAATCTTCAAGCAGAAGGAGAACGAAGGCTTCACCTCATTCTTTAACAAATGAAGAGAAACCTCAGCTAAGATGATTGAGGTGTCAAGGGAAAAAGAGTCTGTAAGGTTATTCATCAAAAACCTTCAAGAAAAATACTCTAAGCATCTCAAGTATCAAAATAATCTCCATACCTTCAAGGCCGTCTATGACATTGGAATCAATATTGAAGACGACCTGGCTAAGTTGAAAGCTGCCAACAATAACTCCAACTGTGCTTGGAAAGGTAAGAAGAACGACAATCCTTCTTCTTCCAAAACCACCCACTCAAACAATGTTAGCACTCTTAACCTAGGTGAAGTCTTTGCTATGAATAATCAAGGACAGAAGAAACTATTTAGGAGGAACTTTACTCTTATTGGCATGAGTTATGACACCGCATTTGATCGATTGAATGCAAAAGGTCTTATAACTCCTATTGGACCATTTGGGGACCCACCAGTCGAAAAGAGGTCGGCTAACTGGAACCCTAATGCACATTGCAAGTATCACCAAGGTAGGGACCATCTTACCGAGAACTGTTGGAAGCTTAAAGAAGCTATCCAAGACTTAATCGACAACAACAAGCTGTCGTTGCCCCCTGCTAATAAAAAGCCAAGTATTGATAATGCGCCACTCGCTCATTCCTTGGCTATCTCTGATGAGGAAAACGAGGTTGACCTCTCGTCTCTCATCAAACGTGTCAAAGAAATCCATGCCACCGAAGAAGAGGGGGAGATCTTTTTCGACGCCATGGATAACCTTCCAGATTCAGCAAGTACAGAAGACATATAATCGCTTACACAGTCTATGATGGAAGGATCACATTTGCTACGTGAAACTCTCAAGGCTATAAAGGAACTTCAGAAGAAATATGGCGAGGTTCCACTCCCAAAAAATGAGCTTAAAAGAGAGTTCACACCCATGGGACGACTTACAAGGCGACACGTTTTCCTTTACAAGTCACCGAAAAACCCAAGAAGAGTAATAGACTATACACTCCAATTGGGATCCCCTATGTACAAATGTTCGAAATGCTCTCCGAAAGTGGCGAGATACAACCTCTCGAACCGAGACGATTTGAATCATTGAAAAGGACAGATAGATATTACTGTCAGTATCATCAATCAGAAGGTCACACTATTGAAAACTGTTTTAAATTCAAGGATTTAATTCAGAAAATGATTGATGAAAAGAAACTAGTCCAAGCCACAAGAAGAGGTTGCAAGTATTAATGGAGTTTGGGACAGTGATGAAGAAGACGACTACTTAAAAGACATGGTAGGACCTCCACCTTCGGTGTCATATGCCATGGATGATTTTTGGGTTTAAGAAGATTCATCAATAGACGTCCTCACAAGATCCGGGAGAATGCAACCTCCCGTTTCAACACAACCCATGCCAACCACACAGCAAGTTCCCATACCTATCATTGAAGATAATGATATCGTCAAACAGTTCAAGAAGACAAAAGTTGAAATGAACGTGTGGAAACTTCTGGCGACATCTCGAGAACATAGGTTGGCTGTAATGAATGCCTTGGACAAAATAGGATAGATTCCGACACCACTCCTGAGGGGTTGGCTAACTTCCTCACGGGTGATCTACCTAGTCCCATAAATTCACTAGTGGAAAAATTGTCATTCGTAACAGGCTATTTGTAACGGGCAAAGGTATGCCCGTTACATAAAATACATCCATGACGGTCAAAATAGAAGTCCGTTACAAATATATAACATTCGTAATGGGAAAGATACTGCCCATTACAAATATATAACATTCGTAACGGGCAAAATATTGCCCGTTACGAATACTTTATTATTCGTAACAGGCATATTGTGCCCGTTACGAATACTATATTATTCGTAACAGGCATATTGTGCCGGTTACGAATACTTTAGTCCAACTTTTGGGAAAGGAACCCATAGCCCATTAGGGTTTTAGCTCTCCAGCCGTCACCCCTCTTTTATCCTCTCTTCTCTTATCATTTCCACTCTCTCTCTCTCCTCTCTCTCTCTCTTGCTCACTCAATCTCTATACTTCTCATGCGCCATGACCACTATTTCTACTTCCACATACTTCTCTCATCTCAACCATTATTTTGACGGTAATCTTTCTCATTTTTCTTTTTAAATTCCTCAATTTTCGTTGCTTTACTCTCAAATTAATTAGTTTTGTGGGGGATTTCATGGGTTTAGTAGGTTTGTGATGGTGGTGTTCATGGCAGGATACCGACTTTCTGGATTTTAGGGTTGGTTTCGACGGGTCAGAACAGTTTCTGTAGAGCGTCGGGGTGGTTTCATGAGTTTCGCTGGTTTGTTTTTGTGGGTGTAAATCTGGGTTTTGCGGGTTTATTTTTGTGGGTGTAGATTTGGATTTGCGGGTGTAAATCTGAGTTTTGGGGGTTTGTTTTTGAAGAACAGTTTTCGAACACTTTCAAACAGTACGCCGGTGGTTACATAATATGATTCCTTCCAAGTCAATTTACGCGGCTTTTTAATGTGAGGCGGATCAGATAATGAGGAAGGAAGTGATATTTCTTTCAAATCATAACGAACATAATCTATAATTTTCCTGCACACGACCTTGAACTTCATATTCAAATTTGAAGAATATTAAAACATTGACCTTACGTTAATTTTGGTTTTTTGATATTATTAAAACACTTCCAGTTTTCTTTTCTGAAAATCGAACACTTTTGATATTTTTTTTCAATTACGTTAATTTTGGTGTTTTGATATTATTTTTTTTTTCAATTATGTTAATTTTGGTTTGTTGATATTATTAATTTTTTTTTCAATTATGTTAATTTTGGTTTGTTGATATTATTTTTTTTTCAATTATGTTAATTTTTGGTTTGTTGAAATTATTGAAGGTGGAGCATATAATATCTACACAAGGGAGCTTAAGAATCAACATATCAGACCAAAAAATGTTAAGATTTTTAAACATTGACGAGTTTCAACAGGACAATTTCTAGCAAATCTGAAAATTTGTGGAAGATCTAAATTATTCAATACTAATTTAGACAAAACTTGATAGTCTTAATCTAAAGATGTAAACTTGCGACATTATATGAGAAATTTGATATATTTTGAAGTATAATGAACAGATTATTGTTATTGTATACTTCGTATTTAATGTATTATACTTTGGAAAAAAAATGTATCTCATTATTTGATAAAATGATCCAGCACGTGCTGGTTTTTTTTAGTTGCATCAAACATTATTCGTAACGGGCAGATACAATGCCCGTTACGAATAACGGGTTATTCGTAACGGACACTATCCGTAACGGCAGTATACGTAACGCCCATTGCCCGTTACGGATAGGCTCTTTTTGCCCGTTACGGATAGCCTCTTTCCACTAGTGATTTGATCACCTTTTCTGACAAGGATTTGCCCCCAGAAGGTGACAAACACTATAAGGCATTAAACCTCACAGTAGTTTGCAAGAGAATGAACGTCCCTATGACTCTTGTAGACAATGGATCAGCCATCAACGTCTGTCGTCCACTTAGAGCTGCAAGGATGCTAAGCATAAGGGATGAAGATTTAACCCCGTCAACGCAAGGAATAAAAGCCTACGACAACACTCGTCGTCAAGCTCTTGGTAAAATTAACATGAATGTAACGGCGGAAGCGATAGAACATGCTACTACTTTCCAAATAGTAGATAACAAAGCTTCATTCAATTTGTTGTTGGGACGCCCTTGGCTTCATGACCTAAAGGTCGTCCCCTCATCTCTCCACCAACAAGTAAAGACCATAGTTGGGGGAATTCCTATCACCATCGATGCTTCACCTATGAGAATCAAGTCTATAGAAAATCCAATAATTAACGTGGAGCACGATGAGGATGATGAAGATTTATGGGGCTTTAACGAAGAGGTCTCCTTAATCCAGGAGGATGAAAGGACCCCACTCTGCCACGACCCCCATTCTAATATGATCGTTAATGCTATTATGAAGAAACAAGGACATTTTCCTGGGATGACCCTAGGAAAGAAAAAGGGAATAGCAAAACCGCTGGAGTCACCTGGCCTCCCTAAATTAGATACTTTCGGACTTGGTTTCGAACCGACTCGGAAAGATCTTAAGCGAGCCCATGAAAAATCAAAGGCACGTAGGGACGCTCACATCCAAAAGAAAGCAATCCCAATGGATCAGTACCCTCTCACCCTTAATCGTCAATTCATAAAAGAACGAGAGGACTATCCATGCCACGAATTTCCCGAGCCATTTGTCGTAAACGGCATAAGGCAACCGAGATTTGAAATTTTCTTGGATTGCTATTTTACAGATGAAATCCCAACTCCTGTCCATAAGGAGAAAGCACCCCCATGCTTTGACTTTAACGTCATGGGTTTACTATTTGGGCGAGAAAAGGATGAGCCGACATACAAAGAGGATAACTCCTCGCTCATTCAAACGGTCCTACAAACTGAAAACTTCGATCCTTCGAAGCTAATCACTCCAGCGGATGGATCACTACAAGGGTGGCACAAGACCGTCAAGGTGATGACTCTAAGTGGAAGAAAGATATCCATCACGACATGGCAAGGACCGATGTTTGAAGAGTCGTCAGAGTCAGAGTCTCTCCCTATAGAGTCATCTAGGTCTTTAGTAGTAGCATCTTCCCTTTCTATCTCTTCTCCTAGAATAGTTAGTGATCAAGTCCTTGAGGACATATCAGTCTTTGATGTAATAATCTCAGCTCAGAGTATAATGATATAATTTATTATCCTTACTTCTTGTGTTCTTCTCTAACCCAAGATGATGAGCATTGCTTAACTAACAATGAAAAAGACAAAGAACTTATTAAAGCAATGGAAACACTCGAAAAGAAAACACCGGTAATTGAAGAAACTGAAACGGTTGATATCTCAAATGATTCAACCAACAAAAGAGAACTTAAAATCGGACTAACACTTAATGAACAAGAAAGAACCCATTTAATTAATTTACTTAAAGAATTCATCGATGTATTTGCTTGGTCATACAAAGATATGCCAGGCATTAATAGAGAAATAGCTCAACACACTATACCACTAATTCCGGGAATGAAACATGTAAAACAAAAGTTATGTCGAATGAAACCCGACGTAGCTCTTAAAATAAAAGAAGAAGTTAAAAAACAAATAATTGCAGGTCTCATCAAGGTATCAAAATACCCCGAATGGGTCGCCAACGTCGTCCCAGTTCCGAAAAAAGACAGAAGGGTAAGAATGTGTGTCGACTATCGAGATCAAAATAACGCAAGTCCAAAGGATGACTTCCCTTTACCACACATCGATATTCTGGTGGATAACACAGCAAATCACACACTTCTCTCGTTCATGGATGGATACACAAGTTATAATCAGATTCTCATGGCAGAAGAAGACATGGAGAAAACAACCTTCATAACACCATGGGGCACTTACTACTACACGGTATTGCCATTCGGGTTGAAAAACGCGGGTGCCACTTACCATCGTGCAGCGACTGCCTTACTCCATAATATGATGCACCAAGAAGTCGAGGTATATGTCGACGACATGAATGTAAAATCAAAAGACCGCCCAAGCCATCAAGTAGCCTTAAGAAAAATTTTCGAAAGGCTAAGAAAATATAATATGAGGTTGAACCCATGTAAGTGTGCTTTTGGAGTCACCTCAGGCGAGCTTTTGGGTTATGTAATAAGTTATAAAGGAATAGAGATAGACCAAACCAAGATCAAAGAAATCATGTCAATGCCACCGCCCAAAACCGAGAAACAGATTAAAGTTTTTATTGGCCGGTTGCAATACATAAGTAGTTTCATAATAAAATTGACGACGATATGCGAACCAATCTTTAAGAAGCTTAAGAAGAATGTACCAGTAATATGGGATGACGAGTGTCAAAAAGCCTTTGAAAAGATTAAAGCCTATCTCGCAAATCCTCCCGTATTAGCACCAGCACTTCCCGGAATACCTCTTAGGTTGTACTTAACAGTTACCAAAGAGACAATGGGAGCTATTCTAGCACAAGAAGTAGAAGGCAAAGAAAACGCAATCTACTATCTAAGCAAGAAAATGCTCGAATATGAAGCACGTTATACACCACTTGAGAAATTGTGCCTCGCCTTGGTGTGGGCCACAACCAAGTTAAGACATTACATGCTAGTGTATACCGTCTTTGTAGTCTCCCGATTAGATCCACTCAAGTATCTATTCGAGAAATCTACACTCAATGGACGCATATCGAGATGGATAGTCAATTTAGCCCAGTTTGATGTAAGGTTTATGCCGCAAAAAAGCTATCAAAGGATCTGTGGTGTCAGACTTTAAAGCGGACTTTCTAATAGAAGACTCGACGCGGATACAAGACAATAAATTTCCAGATGAAGACTTAATGGTCATTAAAGATGATACTTGGACCTTATACTTCGACGGAGCCTCAAACCAAAAGGGATGTGGCGTTAAAGTATTACTAGTATCACCTAAAGAAGAGCATGTTCCAATCTCCATAAAGCTTGATTTCGACGTTACCAACAACGCTGCTAAGTACGAAGCATGCGTGGTAGGCCTTGAGACAGCTTTGGCATTGGGAGTAAAAAAGTTACGGATATTCGGTGACTCTTTACTAATCATCAATCAAATATCCAAAAGGTGGAAAGTAAGGAGCGAAAGTCTAGCCCCTTACCAAACTTATCTGGAAACTCTTACTAATCAGTTAGATAAGGTAAAATACACGTATCTACCTAGAGAAGAAAATCAATTTGCTGATGCCTTGGCAAGACTAGCCTCAATAGTTAGGATTCCCACGGAAATCGAACAAATGCCTCTAACTATAGGAAAAAGGCACAAACCAGCATACATTCAGGCTATAGAAGATGACGAAGTAGTCGAAGACGAAGAAGAAGAAGAAGAAGAAGAAAAACCGTGGTACATGGACATACTCAACTACGTCACCAAAGGAAAATACCCTCCCCATGTTGACAAAGGAGCAAATCGAGCATTAAGGCTCTTGGCTTCCCAATATGTACTCATAGACAACGAGCTACATAAAAGGGTACCTAAGCGTCGAGCTCTCTTATGTGTAGGAAAAAAGGATGCCCAAAGAGCAATGAGGATAGTCCACGAAGGAATCTGTGGCACTCACATAAATGGAAAAATGTTAGTCCAAAAGATAATGCGAGAAGGATATTATTGGACTACAATGAATAGGGATTGCCATCAATACGTAAAAAGATGCCCTAAGTGCCATATCTATGCCAATTTACAACTTGTTCCTCCATCCTTTCTCAACACCTACATGTCTCCATGGCCATTCTCTACATGGGGAATTGACATCATCGGCAAAATCACTCCCCCAGGAACAAGAGGCCACAAATATATCCTAGTGGCAATTGATTACTTCATAAAGTGGGTTGAAGCACAATCATACGCTAAACTCACTGCAAAACATGTAGCACTCTTTATCGAGAGAAATAGTATTTGTCGGTACGGAGTCCCATATGAAGTGATAAGTGACAATGGTACTCACTTTCAAGCCGAATGTGAAGAATTTCTACAAAAATATGGAATTCAACATCATCATTCTTCCCCTTATAGGCCTCAAGCAATTGGAGCAGTCGAGGCAGCTAATAAAAATCTAAAGATTATCATCGAAAAAATGACGGAAAATTATAAGGATAGGCCTGACAAACTTCACTTTGCATTGTGGGGTTATCGCACGTCAATTTGCACATCGACAGGAAATACGCCATTTTCCTTGGTTTATAGAATGGATGCCGTACAACCTGTCGAATTAGAAATTCCATCTCTACGCATCGCGTTAGAGAGCAAACTCGATGAAGTTGAATGGACTAGGGCAAGATATGAAGAGCTAATTCTACTCGATGAAAAACGACTTGAAGCTCTACATCACACTCAGTGTTACCAAACTCATATGGCTAGGCATTTTAATAAGAATTTCAAGAAAAGAAACATCAAAGTAGGAGACTTGGTGATAAAAGCATTAAGGAAAAATGTTTTAGATCCAAGGGGAAAATTTAGACCTAATTAGTCTGGACCCTACATTGTCAAAACAATCCTGTCAGGAGGTGCAGCAAAGTTAACTGAAATGGATGGAAATGAGTTCTC